AATTAATTCGCACCACTAAATCCTGAATTACAGACCGAGTAAATAAGTGTCTCACTCTAAGCCACAATAAAAGCCGTGAATGTGGTAAGACGCTAACGTAAAAGACATTGATATATTAGTCGAGTATAATAATAATTTAACTTAGTAATTAAATATTAATACATAGTTAAGACACGGGCTCTCCACCCGACCGATCCTGCTGCAGATCCTCACCATCCTTCAAAAGGTCTGACTTATAGATGTTAGTTATATTTACTATTACTTAGGGGAAGTCATTACTCATAATACAATATAGGGTTTAGATATTAATTCTATATACACTATTACACTTGACAGATGTAGATATTAATTATTAATACTAATCACTTATTACAATTGAAGATTATTATATTCCGATAATACTATTACTTAAATTAGTATTACACTGATGGATATTAATTTATTAAGATGGTGAGATATTAATTTAGGTGGAAGAAGTTCCTGATCTTACTGGAGAGGAGTTTCCGGGGTCAAACGGCCCCCGAGGTGGGCAGTATGTGACAGCCTTCAAAAGGTATGCACAAGTGGTAGAATTATACAGCGCCATGGAAGGTGGAAGATAATCAGTTTTGACCGAGAAGGAGGCAGATATTAGGTTGGATCAAGCCACCCCACTCCTGCACTCTGAAGGAGAGAAAAAGAAAGGATGCGGTATATCATGATGAGAAATTGGTGAGATATTAATAACATTTGATCTTTAAGTACATTCCAGCTTTTAAAAGGCGGACTTGAGTCCTGGAGGTGGGAAGTACAGTTCCTGCACTCTGAAGGATGGGTGAGGATATTACAGTCCTGGAGGTGGGAAGTACAGTGTCTGCACTCTGAAGGATGGGTGAGGATATTACAGTCCTGGAAGTGGGAAGTACAGTGCCTGCACTCTGAAGGATGGGTGAGGATGTTATAGTTCAGAGTGTCATCTGAACTGTGATGCTGCATGCTTGTGACAAAACAGCGATTGAATGAATGATGGGGAATGTGTTTCCTTTTCTTTTTGGGTCACTCTACCTGGGTGGAAGACCAGTGTATTAAAAACACAAGTGATTCGATGAACCTAATAAGCAGGTGAGCTAACACGCAGGTGATTTAACATGCAGGTGACAGGATGAAGCTAACACGCAGATGACCGTACGGATCTAACACACCGGTGACCCAACACACCAGAGATAACGCCTCATACATGTAATTTGATTATATAGCAATTAAGTTAGAGGTGTTATCACCGATGTGTTTGATCACCTGCGTGTTAGGTCCGTTGGGTCACCTGCGTGTTAGGTCCGTACGGTCACGTGCGTATTAGTTTCGTCCGGTCACTTATACAATCTTCGAGCAGTGACAGGCACCAGCACTGCACCATCAACCACACTATCGAACATTAAAATGGTATAAAAATACCTAGCGAGATTGTTTCAGGTTAAGAACAATGCCAACAGTATGAGTAACTTTAATTTCGAACTGTTATCGCTACATAGTAGGCTTCTCAGTCAGTACAAAAAGTTTGATCGAACAGAAGAGCCACTTGACAGACGTGTAATCAGTCCATCACCCTAAAGTTTTGAGTGGTCAGTTCCCCAGTTGAAAGACACTGATTCCATAACTGAAACAATTGTTCAAAACTTTGGACACAAGCACTTATCACAGACTGTGAGGGAAGACGGCGACCACTAAAACTTGTAGATGACTGATTAAACATCGTCTTCAAGACTTCTGCTTCTATCAACAAATTTCTGTACCGACATGATAAATAAGCCACATTGTAGCAAACTGTATTCGAATAGATTAGCCATAACGTATCGCATAGTGTACTTATACCATAACAACCACACTTCTCCATACTGACTGTAAAACAATGGTGTCCTCCAAAGAAGACTTTGTGACACACAACGACATCAATAAAACTTGTTAGTAATATGACGGACGGTCGACGCACTGTCACAATGTAGAGGTGATATACACACCAACTTGCCAGTCTATATCGAGCATATTACTCCAAGTATAACAAAATGATGTCAAGGTAACCACAAGTTGATGAATTGACACATGTGCAATGGCTCTCTTGGGTAATCTCAGATAGATGATTGGAGGAAACGAATACGCGCACTAGTGACTGTCACATGTCCAATACACGGAAGAATCTTCACAAGTCATCTTCTGTAGCTGACGAATGACGCCACGTGGCTGCGAATACGTTTTCTCAAACAAAAAGATACAAAAATTACATTCCTATTTCTCTCCATTCAATAACTTTTTTAGAATTTTATACTGTTCTTTATCCCTACAACTCATTCGAAGTTTGGAACATCCTACTAGCCAGTTATGCACATGCGCCCCTATTTTGATCTTCCTCTTATGTACTGCACCACAAAAAAACTGAAGCTCAGGTCAACCAGTTGTGGCCTCTGTCGTGGCCCAGTATGTGGGCTTCTCTCTGGGTAATTACCATGAATCATGCACAAATATCCCGCACATAGGAGAAAGAAGCTTACGACGACCTGTGAGTCTGTAAATGGTCAAAATCGGACCGAAACGTCGTCATAAGCTTCTGCTGTGTACGGGTCATTTGTGTACTGTCCCGATCACGGTATTGTACTTTTTTGTTCTTCAAATCAAACATTAACTACAATACTACTTACATTCTCCTTTTATCTCTCTTCTCCTACCTTTGCTTAAATTCCTTTGCTTCTTAAGCATCTCAATTCCTTCATTATCTCCATTCTTTTATCCCCCTACAAACTCAATTCCGAAGTTCTGGAACACTCGCTAAACTTGCTCAGATTTCAAGACTGAGGGACAGACCACCTTATTTTTACTTCTTCACTCCTTCTGTACTTGACTGAAGAAACCTGTAAAGCAAGCAATACATTTCGAAAGTAAAGATATCCAACTGCTGCACATGTATCTCACTCATCGCCTCGTTCAGCCTTCTAGTAAGAACGAAATTCTCATCTGGACATAAAAACGCAATAAGCAGATGTATAAGGCAGGCCAGTGGAGACAGACAGACAGACACACACACACACATAGAGGGAATGAAGATTGGGTAGAAGAGCTTATGAAAAGGAAAGATGAGTGGTGAAAGAAGCTAGAAGAGCTTAACATGAAAATGGAGGAGAGGATAACTGCTGAGAGCAGGAAGTGGGAGATGCAAGTCACGGCAGCAGAGGCTAAGATTCAGTGACTAGATAAGGAACTGAAAAATCTGAAACAGCCTAAAGAACTAAAGAGCAATGCAGGTATGACATCAGAAACTGCTACCTCAGTCACAAACAAGGGGACTGCAGGGAACGAAGGAGCAAAACTGTATGCAGAGGCCCTATCAGACCATCGTGGAGCCCGAGAAAAAAAAGAGGATCACATCAAGAGCAATCGAGGAGACTGTAGAAAATGAAAGAGCTAAGCTATATGTAGAAGCCCTAACAGACCACAGCAGTGCCCAGGGAAAGCTGAGAAGGGAAAATGACAGACCACTGGGCCCAGGGACAACAGATAGGGAAGAGACTGAAGAAAAGAAAGCTGCAATGGAGGCAACTAAATCGAATTAGGGGATACATAGGAATATGCAGTGGGAGAAGGAAATGGAGAGATCAGTCTTTGTTTATGCGCTCCAGGAAGTTGAAGGGGAAACTTACGAAGCAAGAAGACAAGTGGAGAAAAAAGTAACTGAAAGCATCATGAAAGCAATAGGAAATGACATGACCCAGTGACACTACCGATACTACCAGTTACACTACCAATACTACCAGTGACATTACCAATACTACCAGTGACACTACCAATACTACCAGTGACATTACCAATACTACCAGCGACACTACCAATACTACCAGTGACACTACCAATATTGCCAGTGACATTACCAATACTACCAGTGACACTACCAATACTACCAGTGACACTACCAATACTACCAGTGACACTACCAATACTACCACTGACACTACCAATACTACCAGTGACACGACCACCTTTCCCAGTGATTCGCCTCACCTGTTTAAAATCGACATTTAAGCCAGTTCACATCTAGATAGATTATAATCCCAGATTCTTGTGGCGGTTGTTGTGACAAGTCTCTTGAGCCTGTCAACAGCCAGTCAGCCAGGGTGATGAATGATGCTGCCTAGACCACCACCACCACTACTACTACCACCACCACCACCCCAGGGGCAAGGATGCAAATGGCGCTGATGCCGGAGTTACCTAATACACAGCACAATTAACTGTACAGAGGTCATGTTGATGATGATTTGTCAGGAAAGAGCAGCGTCCTCTAACACCAGCCTTAAACTAACCTTTAGCGTTGAGTCATCGGAATAATTGAGGCATCTGAGTGTGCTTTTCGCATTTTGTAGACTAGTCCTTTCTAGGACCTTTTTATTTTATGAATTTTTCAGTAACCCTCATAGTTTTTAATGTTTTTTGAGTGTGCAAACAGTCATTATTCCTTCTAAGGAAGGAATGGGAACCACCCTCTCTCAAGTACAGAACTACACTACTTCACATTTCGACTCCTCACTCCCCTTGGTAAGGAGCTAATAGATTCTGATTGGTTACTCGAAGATGAAGAAAAGTTTTCCTATTGGTTAGAGGCAATGTCAACAATTTCATGAGTCCTGACTGGGCGCTTAATGAAGCCTTGGACTGCCAGCATCCACTAGCTTATCCCCAGCTGGGTTTTACAACCCATTAAAAAAGTCAAGGATCACTACACATCAACATGTTATCTTAGGATACACTGCTATCCTTACGGGTATCCTGAGCTATCATGTTGATGCCCTTACAGCTATCCTATGATAACATGTTATCCTTACTGGTATTATTTTAACAGAACGGCCATCTCCCACCGATGTCTACCTACCTGAAGGGTGTTTCGGGGGTCAACGCCCCCGCGGTCTGGTCCATGACCAGGTCTCGTATTTTTGGATCTCACAGGAGAGGTACATGTAACTGTGCTTGTGGGATCACAGCCCAGTAGATGGAGTCGAACCTCTCTGACGCTAGTCAGCTACAGGGTTGAAGCCTGCACCCCCAGACCTCTGAGGCTCAACCGGATGAACAAAAAGAAAAGAGGAAACACATTCACCGTCACTCAATCACCGTCTTGCCAGAAGCGAGTTGACATCGCAGTTCAGATGACCCTATGGACCGCAACATCCTCACTCTTTCTTCAGAGTTCAGGCACTGTACTGTACTCTCTACCTCTAGAATTTTCCTAAATACCTTCATAAATTTTACCTTGCTCACACTCCATCAGCAAAGTCAATCATAAAAGTCGCTTGTCTCCACTCTGATGTAACACGCTCTTATAAGCCTGAGCAAGGTAAAATTTATGAAGGTATTTAGAAAATTCTGGAGGTAGAGAGTACAGTACAGTGCCTGCACTCTGAAGAAAGAGTGAGGATGTTGCGGTCCATAGGGTCATCTGAACTGCGATGTCAACTCGCTTCTGGCAAGACGGTGATTGAGTGACGGTGAATGTGTTTCCTCTTTTCTTTTTGTTCATCCGGTTGAGCCTCAGAGGTCTGGGGGTGCAGGCTTCAACCCTGTAGCTGACTAGCGTCAGAGAGGTTCGACTCCATCTACTGGGCTGTGATCCCACAAGCACAGTTACATGTACCTCTCCTGTGAGATCCAAAAATACGAGACCTGGTCATGGACCAGACCGCGGGGGCGTTGACCCCCGAAACATCCTTCAGGTAGGTAGACATCGGTGGGAGATGGCCGTTCTGTTAAAAAAATAATACCAGTAAGGATAACATGTACAACAACAATAAGAGATGAATGATATGTAAACAGCAACAGTAAAAGATGAATGATATGTAAACAGCAACAGTAAAAGATGAATGATATGTAAACAGCAACAGTAAAAGATGAATGATATGTAAACAGCAACAGTAAAAGATGAATGATATGTAAACAGCAACAGTAAAAGATGAATGAAATTTAAACAGCAACAGTAAAAGATGAATGAAATTTAAACAGCAACAGTAAAAGATGAATGAAATTTAAACAGCAACAGTAAAAGATGAATGAAATTTAAACAGCAACAGTAAAAGATGAATGAAATTTAAACAGCAACAGTAAAAGATGAATGAAATGTAAGTAAGAACTCTCAACGTTGCTTTCCAACACACCACAAAATATACTTTGCAACCATATGGAAACTGTACTTAAGTTTTGCAACTGAGATTTACAGACACATTTTCTCGTTGCTTTAAGGAGAGGCGTTGGAAAACTGTGTTTTGTCTGCCACGGAGCCTTCCCTTCCATCACGTCTACCACTTGGTCATGCCACGGAGCCTTCCCTTCCATCATGTCTACCACTTGGTCATGCCACGGAGCCTTCCCTTCCATCATGTCTACCACTTGGTCATGCCACGGAGCCTTCCCTTCCATCATGTCTACTACTTGGTCATGCCACGGAGCCTTCCCTTCCATCATGTCTACCACTTGGTCATGCCACGGAGCCTTCCCTTCCATCATGTCTACCACTTGGTCATGCCACGGAGCCTTCCCTTCCATCATGTCTACTACTTGGTCATGCCACGGAGCCTTCCCTTCCATCATGTCTACCACTTGGTCATGCCACGGAGCCTTCCCTTCCATCATGTCTACTACTTGGTCATGCCGCGGAGCCTTCCCTTCCATCATGTCTACTACTTGGTCATGCCGCGGAGCCTTCCCTTCCATCATGTCTACCACTTGGTCATGCCGCGGAGCCTTCCCTTCCATCATGTCTACCACTTGGTCATGCCGCGGAGCCTTCCCTTCCATCATGTCTACCACTTGGTCATGCCACGGAGCCTTCCCTTCCATCATGTCTACCACTTGGTCATGCCACGGAGCCTTCCCTTCCATCATGTCTACCACTTGGTCATGCCACGGAGCCTTCCCTTCCATCATGTCTACCACTTGGTCATGCCACGGAGCCTTCCCTTCCATCATGTCTACCACTTGGTCATGCCACGGAGCCTTCCCTTCCATCATGTCTACCACTTGGTCATGCCACGGAGCCTTCCCTTCCATCATGTCTACCACTTGGTCATGCCACGGAGCCTTCCCTTCCATCATGTCTACCACTTGGTCATGCCGCGGAGCCTTCCCTTCCATCATGTCTACTACTTGGTCATGCCACGGAGCCTTCCCTTCCATCATGTCTACTACTTGGTCATGCCACGGAGCCTTCCCTTCCATCATGTCTACTACTTGGTCATGCCACGGAGCCTTCCCTTCCATCATGTCTACTACTTGGTCATGCCACGGAGCCTTCCCTTCCATCATGTCTACTACTTGGTCATGCCACGGAGCCTTCCCTTCCATCATGTCTACTACTTGGTCATGCCACGGAGCCTTCCCTTCCATCACGTCTACTACTTGGTCATGCCACGGAGCCTTCCCTTCCATCACGTATACTACTTGGTCATGCCACGGAGCCTTCCCTTCCATCACGTCTACTACTTGGTCATGCCACGGAGCCTTCCCTTCCATCATGTCTACTACTTGGTCATGCCACGGAGCCTTCCCTTCCATCATGTCTACTACTTGGTCATGCCACGGAGCCTTCCCTTCCATCATGTCTACTACTTGGTCATGCCACGGAGCCTTCCCTTCCATCATGTCTACTACTTGGTCATGCCGCGGAGCCTTCCCTTCCATCACGTCTACTACTTGGTCATGCCACGGAGCCTTCCCTTCCATCATGTCTACTACTTGGTCATGCCACGGAGCCTTCCCTTCCATCACGTCTACTACTTGGTCATGCCACGGAGCCTTCCCTTCCATCATGTCTACTACTTGGTCATGCCGCGGAGCCTTCCCTTCCATCATGTCTACTACTTGGTCATGCCACGGAGCCTTCCCTTCCATCATGTCTACTACTTGGTCATGCCACGGAGCCTTCCCTTCCTCCATGTCTGCCACTTGGTCATGCCAAGGAGCCTTCCCTTCCATCATGTCTGCTACTTGGTCATGCCAAGGAGCCTTCCCTTCCATGTCTACCACTTGGTCATGCCACGGAGCCTTCCCTTCCATCATGTCTACCACTTGGTCATGCCACGGAGCCTTCCCTTGCACCATGTCTACCACTTGGTCATGCCGCGGAGCCTTCCCTTCCTCCATATCTACCACTTGGTCATGCCGCGGAGCCTTCCCTTCCACCATGTCTACCACTTGGTCATGCCACGGAGCCTTCCCTTCCATCATGTCTACCACTTGGTCATGCCGCGGAGCCTTCCCTTCCTCCATGTCTACCACTTGGTCATGCCGCGGAGCCTTCCCTTCCACCATGTCTACCACTTGGTCATGCCGCGGAGCCTTCCCTTCCACCATGTCTACCACTTGGTCATGCCACGGAGCCTTCCCTTCCACCATGTCTACCACTTGGTCATGCCACGGAGCCTTCCCTTCCATCATGTCTACTACTTGGTCATGCCGCGGAGCCTTCCCTTCCACCATGTCTACTACTTGGTCATGCCACGGAGCCTTCCCTTCCATCATGTCTACTACTTGGTCATGCCGCGGAGCCTTCCCTTCCATCACGTCTACTACTTGGTCATGCCGCGGAGCCTTCCCTTCCATCATGTCTACTACTTGGTCATGCCGCGGAGCCTTCCCTTCCATCACGTCTACTACTTGGTCATGCCGCGGAGCCTTCCCTTCCACTATGTCTACCACTTGGTCATGCCACGGAGCCTTCCCTTCCACCATGTCTACCACTTGGTCATGCCACGGAGCCTTCCCTTCCACCATGTCTACCACTTGGTCATGCCGCGGAGCCTTCCCTTCCACCATGTCTACTACTTGGTCATGCCACGGAGCCTTCCCTTCCACCATGTCTACCACTTGGTCATGCCACGGAGCCTTCCCTTCCACCATGTCTACCACTTGGTCATGCCACGGAGCCTTCCCTTCCACCATGTCTACCACTTGGTCATGCCACGGAGCCTTCCCTTCCACCATGTCTACCACTTGGTCATGCCACGGAGCCTTCCCTTCCACCATGTCTGCCACTTGGTCATACCGCGGAGCCTTCCCTCCCACCATGTCTACCACTTGGTCATGCCACGGAGCCTTCCCTTCCACCATGTCTGCCACTTGGTCATGCCGCAGAGCCTTCCCTTCCACCATGTCTACCACTTGGTCATGCCACGGAGCCTTCCCTTCCACCATGTCTACCACTTGGTCATGCCACGGAGCCTTCCCTTCCACCATGTCTGCCACTTGGTCATGCCACGGAGCCTTCCCTTCCATCATGTCTACCACTTGGTCATGCCACGGAGCCTTCCCTTCCACCATGTCTGCCACTTGGTCATGCCACGGAGCCTTCCCTTCCACCATGTCTACCACTTGGTCATGCCACGGAGCCTTCCCTTCCATCATGTCTACCACTTGGTCATGCCACGGAGCCTTCCCTTCCATCATGTCTACCACTTGGTCATGCCACGGAGCCTTCCCTTCCTCCTTGCTGATACTAAACTTAAAAAAAAAATCCACAATGCCCTCCAGATCATCCTGGTTACTGACGACCTTCATCCTGGTTTAAACAAGAGCCTCAAGATGACCAGCGAAATTTACTGAAACTTCAAAAACAAAACGCAGAGAAAGATCTAGCAAGGAAAGTCAGTGAAAACTCCTACGTCTGCTACATCTCTTAATCTTTTCTAAGTACATAGGCGAGCCAGGGTCTGGTAGCTCTTGCTTACCATGTTGCGCTCTTGTTGCATTGTTGTTAGATCCTTGTTTTATTCTTGTTGGACCCCTGTTGCACTCTTGTCAAATCTTTGTTGCATGCCCTTTTATTGGCCCCTTGTTGCACTCTTGACACATCCTTGTTGCACCACCACCACATATTATTCCTCTGCTTTTGCAGTGTCTGGTACCTCGTAAATTTCCCCCAACCAAAACGAGCCAGGAAGATGACATGCAGATTACACGCGAGGAAAGATTTCTCTAAGACTACCTCGCCCCTGTTCTTCCTGTCACTGGTCTGCCTTACCTCCGTAAACATTATCGCTCACAAAGTATAACTTCATCAAGTTTATTATTCTGCGTTTC